ATTTTACTAAAACACCCCAAACATATACAACTTTAATTTGTAGCAAAATCACCCCCACTCACCCCAAGCCACCGCCGGCAGCCACCACCACCACCGGATGACGCTGCAATGGGGCACGACTAGCTGGATCTGGCTGGTCGTACGCCGATCAGGCCTAATCCGGCCAGATTTGGCTGTGAATATGGTCGTTTCACGGCTAGATCTGGCCGTTAATATAACCATTTCACGACCAAAGATGTGGCCGTGAAACGGCCAGATCTGGTCGTTTCCGGCAAGATCCTGCCGGTCTTGTACCGATATGACGACTTTCGTCGGTGGCCAGCGGTGGTGGCTAGCGACCAGCGGTGGTCTTGGATGATTGGATGCATTTTGTTAACTTTAAAACTTTTTTGTGGCGGGAGTGTTTTAGCTAAATTCTCAAATGTAAGGGGTCTGAGTAATTATTATTTGGTAGACATATGAGGGCAAATATGTTCGAAATGATAAAATATTAAGGGCAAATAGGGTCAAAATTAAGATTACCTCGATAATCTTATATTAACACCCCTTAGAAAGGTAATCTGACTACTCCAAATATTACCAACAGTAAACACTATTTGCAATAAAAGATTACGTAATATTTTATTACTTAACAACCAAACAAGGGAATCTTGAAAATTAAACAAAGATTACAGGATTAATCTTATATCACCCTGAATCAAACGCTACCTTAATTCATAATCATAATGAAAAACGGTTAACAGTTATGATGATTATTTCATAATCATAACCAATAACAGTTAATGGTCAAAATAATAATTATTAAGAGTTCCAATATTATTTTTTATTTTTTATAACAAATTAATGATTAACAATATTATAACCTTGAATATCATAATCTCTTTTTTCTTCACATTATAAAAAATAATAATAATTTTTAAAATGTACAATTATTTCAAATATTATATCCTTAAACTTGATTAAAAAATCTCAATCAAACAATATATAATATTAATAACAGCGAAAATAAATCATGGTCAACAAATATCATATTAATTTTATTGGAATTTATTAGACAGTGATGTGGTTTTGTTAGCTTCCTCATATTAAGACAAGAAACAATTTTTTTTATAATGTTTGGGATCACTATTTTATTTTTTTCATAGTAAAGTGGAAATCCTTTTTATCATATAATAGTTTCTAGAAATATACCTTGTTCATTGTTTAATTAATAATATCTTCTTAAACACGTAATCGATCAAATTTACGGTTAGAAATTGACAGGGATACCGCAAAAAATAGAATAAAGAGCAATTCCAACACGACAAAGAAAATGTTTGAAGCCTCAGCGCTGTCATTCGTCGAATTAACCAGAGAATACACAGATGTTTTCATAAGTGATATATTCAACAAAACAAATTAAAATGAGAAAAATGAACAGATCAAGGTATCATGTCTATGATTACATGAACTCCTCCTCATCATGAGTACAACCTAGAAAATTAAGTAACAACAAACTAGACTTCGATCTTTCCCTGTTTGTGTTTGAATCGTCGCTTTTGGGTCTCCAAATCCCGAAACTGAAAGAAGACGATGAAGCAGAGATAATCAGGCCTCAAACATCCACAATGGGCATCGTTAAATTGGTATTTACGCTTGGTCATTCTCACACATGGTGCTGCAAAGAAATTCAAGGCTAGAATCAATACATACAAATATAGATCTTAATTATGGTAATTAAAAAAGTAAGACAAAATTAAAATAAGAAATAAAACAGGAATAACTTAAAAAAAAAATAATAATAAGAAGTTAAAAAGGTTGGCATGCGTTGAGCTCCCTTCACTACAAGTACGAAAATACGGAAGGCGGGCTCGTCTCCCAGGTCATGCAAACCCCTAGACTGCGCATGAAGAGAGTGCAGGCAGGGGGTATTCATGAACTGGCAGCCGTGTTTGCCGTCACCTCCTTTCGAACTTGCAGTGAAAGGGAGCTCTCCACTTGAGCCTCACCAAATTAACTCTCTTAATAGATTAGATTAGGTTATTTGTGTTTTGTTGTGTGCTTATGTGAAGAAAAGAGGTGTTTATATAGGGTGAGGCATGAGTGTTTTAGATGTATTTTCAGACCTAGTCCAGTCCATTGAATTTGAAAGATGTTAAATACTAAATAATTAATCTGTGGGGATTCTCTTCTTCCAATTAATTGGTGAAACGTTGCATACCATGGCGAAATTATTGCCGGTTAGCATCTTTCCTTTTCTGCTTTCTATTAAATGACTAATATTCTTTAATTAAATCAATATCTCTCTCTTCTTTTTATTTAGTTAATTACTATAAATTTACCGTCGAAATTAATTTAAGAAAAAAGAGGTTAAAAATTTCTCATCCCTAACTTTAGGAGGTGACCACTACCGTGTTTATCTCATCTCTAATTTTAGGACCCTCCAGGATTGATAAAAGTGCACACAAGTTGGCTTAGATACCCCGATCACAAAAAAAAATCTTTCAACGTTTAATTATTTTATATTAAGATATAATTTGAGATAAACAATATATTTCGTCTGATTAGCTTCATAACTTTATATTTATGTTTATGAACAGTTGAAGAATCTTATATTTCTAGTTAATTATTTTATGAATATTAAAACCTGAAGCAAATAAATGGTAAGAAAATATTCGAGATGAGGCAATTTATTCTTAATAAAAGAATCGAGTTCTATATAATACAACTTAGTTTATATTTTATAGAATAGATGATGGTCATAGTCAAGGACCGGCTCAGCATGCGATTAGCGGCAACAGTCTTGTTTTCCTGTGGAAACAACTTTATAACATTATCTTAGCGTGATGAAATACTAATGAATCCACATAAAGAAAGCCAAACAAGTCAATGTAGTCAAGTTTTGAGGATCTTGAAATCTTAAACAAAAAATTGATTAATGATTCACCAGACATGCAACTGCAAGTTCACCCCGATAACAAAATTATATTCTTAGTAAAAAATCTGAAAGTAAATAAAAGCTAAAAAAGGTTAGAATTATTGGGAACAAACGGAGCTCCNCTTTCCTCATTAATTTGTTTCAAAATCTCTCTCATAATTTGTTTACACCATTAAACAAAGGATTAGGACTAGAGAACCTCATGGCCCTCTAAAACAATTCACTTAGGGTGCGTTTGGTTCGGGGTGAAATAAGATAAATGCTGTAATCTTTGTTTAATTTTCAAGATTTTCTCGTTTGGTTGTCAAGTAATATAATATTACAATAATATTTTATTGTAAATAGTGGTTACTATTGGTAATATTGGGGGTAATCAGATTACCTTCCCAGGGGGTGTTAATGTTAGATTACCAGGGTAATCATAATTTTTACCCTATTTTGCCCTTAATATTTTATCATTCCGGACACTTTTGCCCTCATATGTCTACCAAATAACAATTTCCCAGACCCCTACATTTGAGAACTTAGCTAAAACACCCCCGCTACAAAAAGTTTAAAAGTTACCAAAATACCCCCAATCATCCAAGACTACCGTCGGCTGCTAGCCACCACCGGTGGCCATCGGCGAAAGTCTTCATATCAGCACAAGACCGGTAGGATCTTGCCGATCGTGTGCCGATAAGGACATTTCCGACCATGGATTTATGATCCATGGCCGGAAACGACTAGATCTGGTCGTTTCACGGCCAAAGATGTGGCCGTGAAACGCCATAGATCTGGCCGTGAAAAGGCTAGATCTTTGGTCGTGAAACGGTCGCCGTTTCATGGCCAAAGATCTGGTCTTTTCACGGCCAGATCTATGGCCCTTTCACAGCCACATCTTTGGCCGTGAAATGGCCATATTAACGGCCAGATCTAGCTGTGAAACGACCATATTCACGGCCAGATCTAGCCAGATTAGGCCTGATCGGCATACGACCAGCCAAAATCCAGCTGGTCGTACGCCATTACAGCAACTTCCGATGGTGGTGGTGACTGTCGGCGGTGGCTTGGGGTGAGTGGGGGTGATTTTACTACAAATTAAAGTTGTATATGGTTGGGGTGTTTTGGTAAAATTTCAAATATAGGGGGGTTAAAAGAAATAATTTAAAAAATAATAGAATAAAATAATATTATATTATTATTTTAAAATGAGGGCAATTTAGTAAACTATATAACATACCCACTCATTTATCCTCCCAACCAAATATATTATTATAACATACCCATCAATTTATTCCAACTGACCAAATATATTTCTCTAAAGATTCCCTAATAACCTATCTTTCCAGTAATACAATATTCCTCAATAATATAACATTCCCTGAACCAAACGCTACCTTAGTATATTCTTTAAAGCTTTTATTTATTTATTAATAAACTTAAGTAATCAAATTGTCTTAAAAAAATCGTTAAGAAAATTAAATTAATAAAATAATTCATGCATATTATTTTATGATCTATTATGTTTTGGACTATCATTCAAACATACGTTACATATAAATTAATTTGGCAATATGGGAGAGAGATTTGGTATGATTGATGAGGGGAGAGATTTTGCAAAAAATTAATTAGGAGTTAGGAGAGAGGATTTTTACAATAAATGATGTAATTTCCACCTCATTCTCATCTTTCTTGTCAACCAAACAAAGCCATTAATTATGCATTGAATAAAACTATGTGCACTAACCAATGAGTACTAATCCAAGTATTAACATTGGAAATTTGAAATTCCCTCCAAATTTTTTTTTTAAATTTCCAATGTTAGTACTTGAATTAGTACACATTGGTTAGTGCACATAGCATTACTCTTATGCATTATGGGGTGGAAAATCCAAGTCAACGTAGTGGTGATGTAATTACCAAACGTCAAGTGGGCCAACAGAAAATGAATATAGATAGACATAAATTAATTATATAAATATGTAATTTCCACCACATTCCCATCTTAACCGTTCATTTGGGTAGCATTATTGGCATCATGACAATTTAGTCTTTAAATATCTCAATGACTTTTCCATTATTGTTGTCTCTAAGCTTTCAGTTAAAATGGTAGAGTTTGATGGTCATCCTCATCCCTTCTACAGCTGCAGAAATTGCCTTAATCCTCTTGCCCTTCACGATGATCTCATCTCCAAAAGTTATCTGGTGGTTATAAACAAAATTTCAAATTTTTTAATATTTTGTTTAGCCTGGAATTTTATTTAATGGTTAAAATACAGGTGAAATCAGGGAAGGGTTATATGTTTGCTCAAGCTATGAACGTGGTTTTGGGGAGAAGAGAAGACAGGAAGATGTTGACAGGCGTTTACACAATTGCTAATATTTATTGTGGCAAGTGTGGTGAGGAATTGGGTTGGCAATATTTACAAGCTCATGAGTTTAAACAGAAATTCAAAGAAGGGAGCTTCATAATCGAGAAATTGAAGATGATTAAGGTGTACTAGAAGACTCTTTTCATATTAATCCTTTGATTGCTCTATGCTTCTTCAAGGCTTTGTTCTTATATTTATATGCTCAATTTTAGCTCTCTGGGCTTTATTAAACTTGCTTGACTAGAATGAAACACCAACAATTGCAGAAAACACAATGCATATATATATCAACATAGAAAAATAAGACAAATCAAAGAGAAAAACGAGCTCATAGGCAAGAAGTGGAAACTTCATCAAGAGGGATGGCTAAAAGAGTAATAGGCAAAATTACTAACACTTAACCTTCACCACAAAACACTAAATGAGAAAGCTTCAAGTAAAAAGAATCATTAGGGGGCGTTTGGTTCTTAGATTACTGGGAATGTTGGATTACTAGAAAGATAGATTACCTTGGAAGATTACTGGGAATCTTTAAAAAAAATGTGTTTGGTTAGTTAGTAGGTATGTTATATTAATATGTTTGGTTATGGGGAATAAATTGGTAGGTATGTTATTTAAATTACTAAATTATCCCCCTTTTAAATATTAATATAAGATTATTTTTATTATTAATTTTTGAATAATTTCTTTTAACCCCCAATATTTCAGATTTAGCTAAAACACCCCCGCTTATATAAAACTTTAATTTATGACGAAATCACCCCCATCTCCTGCCGCCGCCTGCCGCCACTGCCGGGAATCTCTGAAAGTACCCGTGAGTACGTTACCGTGACGAAGAGCCTCCGATATGGCCGTTTCTGGCCATATTGATGGCCGAAAACGGCCATATCAGGCCAGATCTGGCCGTTATCGGTTAGGTCTGGGCAAGATCTGGCCGTTAACGGCCAGATCTATTTCGGCCAGATCTCGCCCAGACCTGGCCGTTAATGGCCAAGGATCTAGTCGTTAACGGCCAATTCCATCGATTTGGCCCGATATGGCCTTTTTTGGCCATCAATATGGCTGGAAACGGCCATATCGAAGCCTCCTGGAGTCTCCCACCAAATCTCGTTCTTTTTTGGGGACTCCGGTGATTTTTCGGCGGCAGCCCATGGTGGTTGGCTCGCCGGCGGTGGTGGCTGGGTGGCAGAGGTGGTGGTGGCTGGGCGGCAGTAGTGGTCTGTAAATTATTTTAAATAAAAGGGCATTATTGTCCAAAATTTTAATTAAACAGGGGTAAAATTGAAATAGGATATTAATGTAAATTTGTTTTAAAGTAGGGGTATTATTGTCCAAAATTTTTATTAATAAGGGATAAAATTGTAACAAAAAATGATAACCCTGGTAATTTCAGAATACCTAAGAAAATTGAGGTAATCAGATTACCTCCCATATTATCAATAGTAATTACTATTGGTATTTGAAGATTACCGGTATCTTATATTACTTGACAACCAAATATGGTAATCAAGTAATATAAGATGACATTACCCCAGTAATCCCACATAAACCCCAACCAAACGCCCCCTTAGAGATACAAGCTAAAGAAAGGATTATAAGAGATTTTTGGCTAGCAAGAAAATGAAAAAGAAAGGATTATAATCCATTATCCGCAAGTTTAATTTATTATCCTTTATTTGTCGTTCTCTTAATTTTATTGTAATTTCAGTTTCCTTATTCGGGTTGTAATATCTAATTGTGATTATTTGGTTTTTAAGTTTTAGGGTGACTTTGCAGTTTTGTAATCACTTATTTCTTAGGGTTAGTTTGGGAGATCTGTAGCTTAAAGTTTAATCAACTTTAAAAATAATCAGTTTTGAAGTGTGTTTGGTAAACTTAATTTTCAAAGTTGCTATGAACTTCAAAAGTTGTAAGTATGGGTTTTGTAAACTAGAATTTAAAATTGTTATTAAATACGTGATTTAAAAAATATTTTACTAATTATTAAAGATATAATTTAAAATATATTAAGTATGTAATAGGCATTTTATACATCGAAAATCAGGTTAAGAAAAAAAATCTAATTTTCAAAAGTCACAAAAGGTGGCTTGAAAGTTAAGTGATTATTTTATAATCTACAACAATCCCAAACGCACACTTAAAGCAATCACCCAAAAAGTTAGCCGGCGAAGTCAACAAAGAGCTACTGGCAATGGTGGTTAGTTGTTGTTGTCAGCGAATTCCGCGGCAAGTGAAATAGATCACCAGGCGACGATCCGAATGATGTCGACCGTGCTATCTCACTTGTATCTTAAAATCTTTTGAAATTAAACAAAACAAACATCTCATGGTTTATTATTTTAAAGTTGATCAATAAATGATTATGCAAAGAGCTGTAACCTTACTTAACTTTCTTCTTATCTATGACAAATAATGAGCTGTGTTGGTGCACTACCAAATGCTACACCAGTTGACTGGACCAAAAGAAAATGACCTTGACAAAGACTTTATATTATAATAATTGATGAAATTAAAACATAAACTTCATATATCATCATAGAAAAACTGTTTTATATGGAAGCGATATACACTGCCTCTACATATTTGACCCATTAACCTTGATAAGATATATATCAGACATGGACACAAGTGAAATTTCAATGAACTTTTATGTCTATTACATATTTGGTGAAACATAATCACTAGTTCTCGCAGATTTTAATCAACTAATACCTTCAAATTTAATAAAAACTCATCACTAATTTCCCTTTAAGCAAAATTTGTCTAATAATTTTATATTTTTTTAATCTTTTATTTGGTAATTATGTTGATTAATATTTTTTAATTTCTGGTTTTATGTTTAGGATTTAAAATAAAAAGACGATATTAACCTTAATTGGTAAACTGAAGTTGGGCAGAGTTAGTTTTAAGTGATGATTCTTTTTTTTTTTTTTTTATTTATTTATAAATATTGTTTGATTAAATCTGTGAAAATTAACATTTATCCGTTTATTAATGAAATTATACGGGTCGTTAGTGATAATCTGCCCCATTTGGTGGAAATCTTACGCCCATGGTGTGAGAGACTCCAATTTCTTCGTCATTTGATAAGCTTAGAGATTGATGAAAGGTGAAACAAATATTTATAAGATATTTTTTTTTGAGGTTTTGCATTAAAAGAATAAGGAATATTGAAGATTTTGTATTATAATTAATAAATATTAAAAATTGGCAAGTTTAGTTTTTTTTTTTTTTTTTAAATGTTTATATGTAATTTTTGTAGGGGTGTTAGCCGAGCCGAGACTTGTGGCTCGATCGGTAAAAGCTCGAGCTTGAGCGGGTCGACCATAGTGTCGAGCCAAGTTTGAACATGCCAGTACTCGGCTCAACAAGCTCACGAGCTTCAGTGTAATGTGATAGTTTTAAAACTAATAGGGGGTGATATGCAATTTTGTAGTTTTTAAAATTGACAAACCCACCCATATTCGAAATATGTAAAAATCAAAGGGGATTTATAAATTAGAAAAAAACCATAAAACTAAAACCTCTCTACAATTTTTCCAATCTGCCCCTGTCTTCGACGTTGCCTATGCCTCTCGTTGACGTTGTTGTCCTGTTCGCTGTCTCGTAGTCTGCTTGTCTCTTTTTAGGTATTATGAAAATGACCACCTTCTCAAAACCCTTTAGCTACAAGTTCATCGCCACCTTTGCAAAACACATCACCTTTCTTCCTTTAGCCTCAAGGCTAGGCAGTTAGCCACGTAAAGAGTTGTGGGTTCAATTGAACCAACTCAACTTTTTAAGAAATTGAAAAAAAATCCTAATGTTTTATGGATCCCACTTAACTTTAGGTTGACCCCACGTAAATAAATTATTAATTAGCACTTTTTTAACTTTTCTCTCTTCTTCATTTACTCTCATATTATCTTTTTCTTTTAGTTGGATACTCAAAAAAAGAAAACAATTCCTTTGGATTGCAAGGTAAGATGATGCTCATTTTTTTGTTTTTTTTACTCAAAATTCTTTTCTTTTAGCTTTCTTAATTGATAAAAGATCATGAGCTATGAGTTTTTGTTGAGTTTAATAAATGACTTTGAAATTGGAAGATTAAATTCCTAGATTTTGTTATGGGTTTTAATTTAATCTTGTTTGTTTTCAGGTATGGGTTAGTTGGCTGTTGTTTTAAGTTGGGTTTGATAAATTTTGGTTAGCTATTGAGTTAATTTTGAATGGTTTACTGAATTGATGAAACCTTAAGTTGTAGAGATTTGGGGATTTGGTTTAATTTTGATATATTGGCTAATTGTTTGATATCTTGCTTAAATGGTTAAGTACTTGATATTTAGAATTGATGAAACCCTAAGAATTGTAATGAAGCAATTATGTAATGTTTTCAGAATATAAAAAATCATTAAAGACAATTGTAGAATTGATAATTTGGTATGTAAAACTTTTGAAATTACATTTTTTATGCTTCTTACTTCAGTATATATTTTATTGTAAATTTATCAAATTTGATGTTTTGATCCTACTCACTAAGAATCTTGGCTACATCCATGCTCAAGGCCAACCAATTTTGGGTTTGATAGATTAAGCCAGTGCTGAGTTTGATAGAATAAAGCAAGTGTTGGTTATTTGAGTAAATGGCTTTTTTAGAATTTTGTGGTAGGTGGTGGAGTACGGTGGGTAAAAGGGTTTTCTAATTTTTGTTTTTTTCCTTTTTCCGAAGATTGTTGGTGGAGGCCTTTGATTATGAGGATTTGGATATATGGGTGGGTGTGGTGGTGTTTTTTTTATTATGGGTAATACTATGTTGACAAACTCTTCTCACAAACTTTTTCTTACAAACGCGAAATGACAACTTGTAATTAGTTAGCTCGTAATAGGTCCCGCTTGTCCGACAACAGGTCCTACCTGACTAGTTAGGAGCTAACCAATTGCGGACTACCACATCATGATTGTAAGAGAAAGCTAGAGAGAAGGGTATGTCAGTCTATCTTTATTGTTTTATTATAAGGATTTTGGGTATATGGGGTGGTTGTGGTGGTTTTTTTAATTATATAAGAATATATTGTGTTTGGTTGACCATGTATATGACTAATAATACCCTTCTATTGTATTCAAATTGTCCTTCAATTTTGTTGATGTGTGAT